TTCTTTTTTTTCGTTGATCTTTCAACCAATTTTCATCAAACTTAACAACGGCTTTATAAATGTATCCTCTTACATCCCTGGTAGCACACTGACAAATTGAATTTCAAAAACTCTAAAATAATTGCGGTCTGAAGTGAGTCTTCATGTTGCCTGTTTTACCCCTTCATGTCCTCAGCTAACTTCGATTGAATAAATACAGACTACTTCTATTATATCAGTAACTGCATTAATTCATTTTTTTTTTAATGAAAGTACTTTAAAGTAATTGAAGAAGATAGACTCTGTTATATCTAAACATGATGCTATTTTTGCTCCATTCTAATTGAACGCTTTTTCTGATCGACCAGCTGGTTATGGCTGCTAGTAGATTTATAAAAATTCCGATATTAATTATAAGTTAGTCAAAATCCGGTAGTAATGACAGGTTTCTTCTTTTAATCCAGTTTTGGAAGCGGTGGACATTAATCGGTTATGCAATTTGATATTTCCGCCGTTATTCCTCAAAATAACGCCAAACTATTTTAACTGATATTTTATCTCTAAATAATCTTTGTTGCTTGCTTACTGATGTTTCATTTCGTTCGTATAATTTCATTACCTTTTACCCGTCCGTCTGCTGCAGCGCAGTCGGAATCATTTAGTCATCGCAAACGCTTTGAATTGTTTTTTTCTATAAGGATTGCTAACAAAGGTTGAGGAATCTATCTACCCCACTATTGAATCCATGACTGAAGCGATGGATTCATACATTTCCAAAACAAATCTATGGGAAAGTGACCGTAACAAACGCGACTAGAATTGAAACTCGGCTAGCCAATTTCTCATTCCAATCCACTATCTTTTACACCACCCGCACATCCAATCATTTGTAATATAGGGAAACTATTAATAGGAAAACTTTTGAATTATTATTTTCGCGTTTTATAAATTCATATTGAACAATGATAGAACCAAAGCTGCAAGGAATATAAATTCTTCATTTTTTTTTTAAATAATCTAACCTCAAACAAGGTGATAACGACACTAATACACAAAGGCTTACTGAAAGTGATAGAATCTGAGCAAAATCATTATTAAGGTTAGAGGACAATAAAAGAACGGGTTTCCAATGAGACTGAAGGTAACTATTGAGTATGTATTTAAATTTTTGATGATCAAAATTGACTGGAAAGCAAGAAGAGATTTCCAGAAACTGTTAGCATAGAACTTAGGGTTACATCTAGCAATTACACAGTGTAACCCGGATATAAGAAACCCGGATATAAGAGAAACCCGAATATAAGAGAGATTTTCACTGGCCCCAAATTAGAGCCCATACTTACCGAAACAAAATAGACCAAACCCGGATATAAGGGAAACCCGGATATAAGAGACTTCTTCTCCGGTCCCGACAACTCTCTTATATCCGGGTTACACTGTATATTATTTAATCAAAGTTCCATATACAGTGTAACCCGGATACAGTGTAACCCGGATATAAGAGACCCGGATATAAGAGAAACCCGGATATAAGAGATATTTTCTCTGGTCCCAAATTAGAGCCTGTGTTAATGTATATAAAATAGACCAAACCCGGATATAAGAGAAACCCGGATATAAGAGAAACCCGGATATAAGAGAAACCCGGATATAAGAAACTTCTTCTCCGGTCCCGACAACTCTCTTATATCCGGGTTACACTGTATATCTGAATTGATGAGACCTTAATGCCAGTCTAGTACTGCGCTTAAATTCGTAAAATTGAGTTACCTAAAAGAAAAGTTCATCAGAACAATCACCATGGCAATATTTATTTTAAAAAAAAAAAAGGTGGGCACAGGGAAGGTAGGTTACGGAGGAGGGAAACTGACTGAAGGACTGATAATATTGCAAATTCGTAGCAGAAACAGCACTACGTTGCAGATACGCACCCATTTAGGAAGAATGTTCTCAAATTGGTGCAAAATATTTGTGCAGAAATTTGGGAACAATGTCATGACGTTGTTTTCAAATTGGCGAAAAAAAAAATTCATTAAAAAAAAGTCAGTGGAAGATTTCAGTTTAGAAAACCACAAGAGAGATTGACCAACACGGTGATGAAATCTGTGGCAAAGATAATATAAAAATGGCGGCCAGTGTAAATCATTGACTGGTGATAGGCAGGGGGAAAAAAAGCTTGTTAAATATGGTTATTTACCCAGGTCTCCCCACTGAGACGGGATGTGACACAACATGGAGAACCCGAGCGCGTACACCCGAGCCAAAGACAAAAACTGCTCAACCCCACGCAGCCGTCGGTTGAGCTGGTATCGGTATGACGACCGATTACCTTTCTTCAGTGAGAAATGGTAGGGTGCTGTAAAAAAAAAAGATAAGTATCTCTGTTATCTCGACTCTTTTCTTCATCTGTGAGTAGACTGTCCTGTATTCACTGCCGTGTGCGACATTCGCTTATCATATTATTGTCAGTTTCATATCTATTTCCGTATCGTCGATTATTCTGTTGTCTTGTCTACATTGGTCTTGATATAATTGAATTATTTTGGCTGCTTTCAAGAGACATTCAGTTTCACTCTTCGGAAATATGTCTTTATCATTTCATTTGAATTTTTTTTTATTTGTCTACCTGCAGTTATACTTCCGATGTTACTGCCAGAAAAGAAAAGAGGGCTTCCAATTCTGGAGTTTTTCTCATCCAACATACTTTCTCTTATCATTTCGATAATAACCTCTACTTGTCATGGCCAACCTTTCTTCTCTCTGATTTAAATCTTTAACCTTTATTACTGCCCTTTTCTACTACATTCTTCTTTTCTTTTCTTTTTTTCTTATTAACTCCCTAAGTAGGTTAACTAACGAGAAGGGAGCCCCAGAGTCGTAGATTCACCACATTGTTATAAAATGAAATAAGACATATCTCGGCTGATTTACAGGCAAATACTCAAGAGCGAGAACCGGATGTGAACGGGACAAAGCCCCGTCACAAAATGACCATTATCTTTCTTTACAAATGTTCCCGACACACGTGTTCCGGTCGAAAAATAAAATAATATTTAAAGTGCTCTATTTTTCGTCCAATTTTTTGCTTCCCTCCTAATTATACTCGCTTCGTTTCTCGAGCCTGTTAAGCAATAAAAAAACACTATAAAACGGGTCACACGGAAGTTCAACGGCAGTCAACAGGTGGCCAGCGAACAGACCTGACGGTCAGGCCGAGCGATCAGCAGCAGGGGAGCGTCAACCACCGTCAACATGTGTGAACTACTATGAGAGATCGACCAGATCCGAAAGCCGGCTTATGAACTTTACCACAAGGTAGCTGTCCCAAACCCTCACGTTCCTGTTGAAATAAACCACGTAAATCTATTTCTACTGTTGTCATATTTCTTTCTTGCAACCATACGCTTGTCTATAACAACATGTACTGTTTCTAGGGCAAAATAGCCTGACAGAGCCCAAGCCGGTTTTGAATTAAGAGTTTTTACTTCTCATAGACCGGTTGCCACCCAAGGCTACGAACCCAGTCTATTTATCTATAGCTGTGGGGAGAAAAGGATTCATACCTTTCCCAAAATTCATTTTCTTTATTAGCTGGAATTTGAAGTCGACTCTCCGATTCCTCAATCCGAACCGCTATCTATTACTCCGCCTTGCCTCCTTCTTCAAGACCTCTCACTTGAAGTATCCTTATTGTTAATTCCACTCAAAGTTGTTTTCTGTTGCCATAGCAGGATATGACAACACAACTAAGTAATTCAAACATTACTGTTCAGGGGCTAGAGTCATCTTCAGTGGCAGGATAAACCTTTTGTACAGCCAATGATGTCATATACGGAAAAATCAACACGTGCTAACATATATTTTTCTCGTTCCTTTTAAGATCTCTCATTATCATCCTTGTCATTATTATTATTATTATTATTATTTGTAATCACCCGCAAACCAAGTGACAGCAAATTTCTTTAATACACTAGAACTCTACTCATTATTCTAGCATTAAATATTCACGTCAGTAGAGTCTGATGGCTTCGGCGTCATTAAGTCCCTTCAATACACAATTCTGTTATATGGATGCTTCCAACTTAACTTCTAGGGCTTTCCTTGAATGTTTCCAAACAAACCTTCCATATTTTTGCCATAGTCCTGCTTGTGGCTATTGGCAAGCCATATTCTACATTTCTTCTTGAGGAGAAAGAAAGTTTTCTTTGTGTCAGAACCTAATAAATTAGTTAAAACGACAATTTAGATATTTTAGTATAAGTGAATGGGAAAAAACCCAGAAATGTTTAAAATAACAATTTCTGTTTACAAATACTTAAAAATCTCTGATTAACTTTAAATATCTCAGCCGTTGGCAAAGACAAAACTCTAAGCCGAGTAATCAAAGTTATTTCCCCTTATAACGAAAACCAGGCGCTTTTTACAAAGACGTGGAGAATGAAAATATAAGAAACAAAGAAAGACAGAGAGAGAGAGAGAGAGAGAGTGATGAAGAAAGTAATATAATTTTGAATGGTTGAAGAAAAGGGCGAAGAAAGAGGGGAAAAGCGATGTAAAAGCGGGAAAAAGAGGAAAATGAGAAAGAAAATGAGAAAAAGAAAGATGTGAATTCGCATGTGTGGCAATCGTTGCAATTTTTGTTAATTAGTTTTGCTGTGGAACCAAGCAAATCAAATAAAAAGAAATTAAAACAAAACTGAAAATCACAACGGAGAAAGAAAGAAAGAAAGAAAGAAAGAAAGAAAGAAAGAAAAGAAAAGAAAATAGAGACTAAACTAAATTATTGGCCGGTGCATTTAATTAGATATTAAAAGTGATTCGACTTTCTTCATCTCCGGATTCCACAGCTTTATCATTGCTTGTCTTTTCCTGGTTACGTGATATAACTTGCCGGAAACGAAGGTCGCCATTATGTCGAGTGGTTGGGTTTGAATCTGAACGCCATCTACCGGTAGGAGGAAGTTACCATCAGAAAAGAAAAGGAATTTGGATAAACTCTTCTTTGCCTTGACTTCTATCTTATGAATTATTGTTCTTTTTGTTTCATTCACGTGATTTTTCGCCCTATTTTGTTTGATTTTTCTTCTTTCTTTCTTTCTTTCTTTCTCCTACATCCGCCAAAATTCTTCCTTTCTTTTTTCATTCCACCTTCTTTCTTTTTTCCATTTCCACCTACGTTCTTTCTTTCTTTCTTTCTTTCTTTCTTTCTTTCTTTCTTTCTTTGTCTCCTTTCTTCTTTTTCCCCCTTCTGTCTATCTGTCTATCTTCCTTTGTTTTTTCTCCATCCCTCCTCCTTCTTTCTTCCTTTTTCCCTTTCTATCGGTCTGTCATTCATTCTTTCTTTCTTTCTTTCTTTCTTTTTCTATTTCCACTTACCTTCTTTCCTCGCCCTTCTTTCTTCCTTTTCCCCCTTCTGTCTGTCTGTCTATCGATTTTTGTTTTTTCACCATCCCTACTCTTTCTTTCTTCCTTTTTCCCCTTTAGTCGGTCTGTCTGTCTGGCTGTCTTTCTTTCTTTTTCTATTTCTATCAACCTAATTAATTTCTTTCTTTCTTTCTTTCTTTCTTTCTTTCTTTCTTTCTTTCTTTCTTTCTTTGTCTCCTTTCTTCTTTTTCCCCCTTCTGTCTATCAGTCTGTCTGCCTTAGTTTTTTATCCACCCCTCCTCCTTCTTTCTTCCTTTTTCCCCTTTTGTCGGTGTCTCATTCATTCTTTCTTTCTTTCTTTCTTTTTCTATTTCTACCTGCCTAATTTCTTTCTTTCTTTCTTTCTTTCTTTCTTTCTTTCTTTCTTTCCTCACCCTTCTTTCTTCCTTTTCGCCCTTCTGTCTGTCTGTCTGTCGATCTTTGTTTTTTCCCCATCCTTACTCTTTCTTTCTTCCTTCTTCCCCTTTTGTCGATCTTTCTTTCTTTCTTTCTTTTTCTATTTCTACCAACCTAATTTCTTTCTTTCTTTCTTTCTTTCTTTCTTTTCTTTTCTATTTCTACCAACCTAATTTCTTTCTTTCTTTCTTTCTTTCTTTCTTTTTCTATTTCTACCAACCTAATTTCTTTCTTTCTTTCTTTCTTTCTTTCTTTCTTTCTTTTTCTATTTCTACCAACCTAATTTCTTTCTTTCTTTCTTTCTTTCTTTCTTTCTTTCTTTTATATCCAGCAACATTCTTTCTTTTTTCATTCCAACTTCTTTCTTTCTTTTTCGATTTCCACTTCTTTCTTTCTTTCTTGTTTTTTTATCTCTGTTTTCTATCTGTCCATCTTCAATTTTTCTTTAAATTCTTTCCTTCATAGCGGGTTTCGTAATTAATCATAGACGCAATTAAGACAGTAAATAAACTTAAATAAAATTTAAAACTACAATTTCTTCAAAAATTTGCAGGAATTTTTTTCTAAACAAACTGGTGTGTAAGTTGATTTGTTTGCGGGTGTATCTCTATTCGGAGTCAACAGTCTGAAAATTGCAGTACTTGCTTGCTTGAGACACGCCAGAATCAAACAAGTTTAGAACCTGAACTATCTGGATAATGTTATAACAGATGACGCAAATGTGACACATAAATCTGGAGTTGCATTAGAATAGCGAAAAACGCCTTTCAAAAGCTAAGCAAAGTATGAAGAAACATGAAAATTTCATTAGAAACAACGAAAGTACTGAACTTCTATGCAATACCAGTACTCCCGTGAATGCTGGACAATTTCATTACAGATGAAGAGGCTATTCAAGGCAAAAGATGTGGTTCTACAGGAGGATACTGAGAATACCATGAAGAGAACATATTGACAACGAGGAAGTTCTAAGGGAAATTAAAACAGAAAGGACATAATTAGCATAAATAAGAGACAATTGAAATTTCTCGGGCACATAAGAAAAGACAGCTTAGGGAATTTAACACTCACGTTACATCGGGAATGCAAGAGAGCCCTAGAAACATCAAGTACCCTAACTAGCTTGTGCAAAGGGGGATGACAGAAAAAGATTTAAAGAGATTTAGAGAGATAAGCGATACAAATTGCTTTAATCTAAAGGATTGCTAGGACCGCGGCTAATTCTAGATTGATATTCTTAAGAACGATCTCTGGGATTGTTTGGGCCAGTGTTTTTTTTTTTTTTTTTTTCTGGTTGAGGCTTTTGATGAATCTAGAGACCTCTCTGACTGAAATGAGTATATTACTGAGATTGTGCTCAGTAAGACTTTGGAGGTTCAAAAGGGGGTGACCTTTGTCATCGCCTTGTCTGTCGAGCAAGATAATATCAGGGGATTTATTTATATATATATATATATATATATATATATATATATATATATAGCTAGGACCGCGGATAATTTTAGGTTGATATTCTTAAGAACGATCACTGGGATTTTGTCTGGGCCAGCGGTTTTTTTTCTGGTCGAGGCTTTTGATGAATCTAGAGACCTCTCTGACTGAAATGTTATATTACTGAGATTGTGCTCGGTAAGACTTTGGATGTTCGGGAGGGGGTGAACTTTGCCATCGCCTTGTCTGTCGAGGAAGATAATACCTCGGGGTCATTTATATTAGTGGGTACAGCCGCTTTACCTCTACGCGTAATGTGGTTTGTGATCTTCCAGAATTCACGAGATCCAAGCCTGAATAGCTTGCATGTTGCTGCATCTGGCGTTATTCAGAACTCTCTTACAACGATTGCGGGCGGTTCTGAAATTAGTAAGGGCCAGACTACACTGCTCCTTGCGATAGATTTTGATTCTGGTGAGCTATGGTTGCAGCGCATTCATGGGTGAACCAGGGCTGACTGTTTGCTTTTTGCTGGATTTTTTAGGGATGGTATAAAGCACTCTATTCCAGAAAGGATCCATTCGGATATTAGGGCAGCAGTTTTGGGGGCAGGATATTTAAAGAAGGTTGAGAGAGGAGCTTCCGTCATATGGGACCGAAAGTTGTCCCAGTCCGTCTTCGCATAGCGAAAAACCGCTCTATGGAACGGTAAATCAGAGGATATCATTGGTTTGGAATCAATCTAGATGGTGGCTAGGGAATGATCTGAGCAACCTATGAACGAAGTAAAACTTTTGTTAAGTATTTGTCAGGGCAGGATGTTAGAAAAAGGTCGCGGAGATTCTCCTGCTGTCTCGTCGCGTCCGGGACTCGGGTAGGTTGTTCGATGATCTGGGCAATGCAGAATTTTCTGCAATATCTTTCTTCCTCATCGGTTTTGTTTGAAATGTAGTAACCACTCTTTGTGGTGAACATAGAATATGTGAAAACTGGCCGAAGAAATTCGAGGATATTATCAATCCTCTTTGATATTCGATCGAAGATTACCGACCCTTCATCTTGAGGGTGGTACAACAAATCTAGTACTATGGATAATTGCCACACAGAAGTCACATATACCGGAGATCAGAGTCTTTGTTTTTTTTTTATCCCTGCCACGAGGAAACCCGTCCTTGATGTAGGCACCGAGTCCGTAGGGATTTAGGTGATAGTATTTTGTTATAATGGGTGAGTAACCTGGGATTGTCAGCTCCTGCAATGGATTGAAGCATTAATACTCATTTCAGGCATGAACTGGTCAGGTTTAAATTGAAGGAGATGGAGTCCCACTTTCGGAAAGTTGGAACGAAGACCTCTTCCATTGGTATAAGAGATAGTATACATGAGGTTTACGCAAAACACAGGTAGAAATGAATTTCCATTGTTTGAAAGGGCACAAACTCAGCTGGTGCTCCAGACATTACACTACATTTTATTCTAGCTAACTCGAATAAAATGTAGTGTAATGTCCGTTTGTTGACAGTTGAAAAGTGAAATTGCTCTTCACGTAATAAGTCCCGGATTCCTGATTTCCGGATTGGTGATAGTCAACCTGTATAAGAATTCCTCATAAATTTCACTAAAAAAAGTTATGAAAAGGCATGTTTAAATCATATTTCTTTGTGACTATTTCTTATGTTGCGTTGCCTATAATATAATGAGACTCTGATTATGAATTTGTTACTGTAAGAAAAAAAAAAGAATGTTATGTAAAAGTGGGGATTTTATTAGCGCAATACTGGTGGAAGTTTTTATCTTGAAAAATAAACTAATTTTCTCTCCAAATGTTAATTAACACGGCAATTATCTGTATTACGGTTATTTAAATTTCTCAAGAGATACTCCTGGTGTATTAAATGGTAATTCCAGATCAATTGCATTTCTTTATTTAAATATCACCTACCGGTTGGGTTTGCGAGTTTTGTTCGTTTCCAATTTGATTGCTTTCATGTTTGTTTTGGTTGGTTTAGTCGAGGACAAGTAGACATTGAGACAGACACCCATTGGAGATGCCCACATAAATAACCTAGGTTGACTCGCCCGGAGATACTGCCCTAACAGTGCCTATCAGCATGACATCGAGAGGCCCCACCAGAGACTATTGAACGGCCGAGAAATCATTCGCAAAATGGCAGTACAAGAGACCCGATATTATACACCTGCTGATAGGATAGCCTATCAGGCGGATAACGCCAAACCAAGAAAAACTTTACCTCCAGCACCCTTAATGAGGGGACAAAGAAGTCAGGGCAAAAGAACTCCTTACGGTCAGTAACATCGTACCGGCCAGAGACCTTGGGTACCAAGACAAGCTCGCTCATATACATGAAAAAGACCCACTGGGAGAAGTGTGTAACTAAGGTTGTTCGGGGGTGCGTGTGTATCTCCTACCCCTATCCGAGTTAGTATCAGAGGCATAGTCGTTAGGCTGAGGACATGCATAGGGAAGTTATTTATTCTGTTTGAACTTAGAAATACAATTACTCCTGTCACAGACACAAGTAGGGAATTTACAGTAGTTTTGTAAATTCATCTGAACCAGTTAGTCGAGGGAACAGAAGGATTAAGAATGGTGGGTGATATAAAGTTTTAACTGAGTATAAGTCCCAAGATCCCCTCTTTGGAAAGTGTCAAGATCAGTTCACAATCTGTTTACCACACAGGAAAAAACTTTCATTAAATATCATGTGATCGATAAATAACATTAATGTGCAGATAAACAGTACTGACGCTAACATTATATATATATATATATATATATATATATATATATAAAACTTGTGGGCTGTCAATATACCACATAACACCATTGAGCGCTTAGCCTTGGAGCAGGTAGAATGGAGATCAACGTGTTTTAGTGGACTCAGCAGTTTTCAATCTGCTTGTCTGAATCGTCTCCAAGAAGCGAAAGCAAGTTCTAAAAGGTCAGCCAATCTAACAGTGATCTCATCCCATAATCCTCACTTTTGCTCCATATGTGTCGAATACATTAAGACCGGCGAAGCTTTGGTTGATTAACCGAGAGAAAATATCAATGGCGCTCTCGTGTGGGAGTTGGGGTTAGGGGGATTTGTTTATTTTTTTTTTTTTTTGTCTGGCTGAAACAAGGATCTATCCTACTAGTATGGGATGAAGGTGGGAATAGGTAGAGATCGCCATTTAGGAACTTCTTTAACTATATCTCTCTTTTGTTTTTCTTAATAATTTTTTTCTATGGATGATTTTTTTTAGATCAATGGGACCTATATTAATATTTGTATCATAAATCCTGGAATTGATTATACTCAGCTTAAGAAGCAGGCCAACATACAAATTACAAATTGGAAATGCCACAATCAAAGAACTACAAAAATTTAAATATCTCGGAAGTATTTTAACAGACGACGAAAAATGCGACACCGAAATCAATCCGAAGGCGCAGTGAGAGAGCGAAAGTTGCCTTCCAAAATCTAAGCAAAGTATGAAAAGGAAAATTTCTCTAGAAACAATGAAAATAATACTGAACTGTTATATATATATAGCAGTGAATGCTGAACAATCTCACACACAGATAAAAAATAAATACCTGAGACAACAGAGATGCTGTTCTACAGAAGGATACTGAGGATACCGTGTACTGACCATGCCAAGAACGACAAAATTTTAGGCAAAATGCAAACAAAAATACTTTAAATCAGAAAGAAATCGCTGAAATTTCTTGGTTACATGAGGAAAAAGGGGCTTAAAATGTATGACAATCACGAGACATTGAAGACAAGAGAGACAGGAAAGCAGTGAATAACTTACCTAAGGAACTTGTGTAGATGGTTGGCAAGTAGAAATAGATGATTTGGTCAAGGTACCAAGGAGTCTAGTTCAATAAAACAATTGTCATGGACATATTTATAGAGAGGGAGGCCCTGCCACATGGATAAGAAAGTGACTGAAGACGAGATGCCAAGTCAGGAATCGTAAACATTGGCACAAATAAAAATCATGATTTTTTACTTATTACC